CATTCAAGAGTTGCCTCCCCTCCATTTGGCCACATATGCATGGGAACAACTCCAGATCTTCGGAATCAGAAAGACTGTCCAGGCATGTGGAAGTTTACCAAGATGCTTAGTGGGTCTGATGGGCAGCCAGGCAATCACAGAAACAAATCTTAGATGAGGACCCCATGAACAATGCTCTTCTTTACTCTGTTCACAGAAGGTTTTCGAACTTTAGTGAGGATCAGAATCCCCTGAAAATCCTTCCCACCCTGGAGTTCTTGATTTCGCAGGCAGGATGGGGTCTGAGAATTTGAAAGTCTAATAAGTTCCCCAGAGATGTGATACTGTTATCTGGTAACAATATGAGGACCACTGTGCCACATCCAGAGCTCTTGACCTTAGCATATTTTAACACCAATGTGCTTTTAAACACCTATGCCTGTGGCCTAGATAATTGATTTGATTGATTAACTGAACTAATTGGATTTAAATAGTCTAGGGGAAGATCTGAGCTCCTTATAATTTTAATGCCTTTAGATCGGGACTTCTGTTCTCCTTGAGTAAACTATTTTCTAATTCCAAAGTGTGCCTTGGTACCAGCAACACCCCAACCTAGACTGTTGGAACCAGAATCTGCATTTTAGTAAGCTCTTCAAGTGATTTTCACACATGCTAGAGTTTGAGCACAGCCTAAGTTTCAACTTACATGTAACTTCCTCAGAAAGGACTTATTTTAGCTGGGCATGGTGATGCACACCTGTAATCCCAGGGGCTTGGAAAGCTGAGGCAGAAGGATCACAAGTTCAAACCCAGCTTCAGCAATTTAGCAAGGCCCTAAATAACTTAGCAAGAATCTGTCTCAAGGAAAAAAAAAAATTAAAGGGGCTGAGGATGTGACTCACTGATTAAGCCCCCAGGAAAGAAAGGAAGGAAGGAAGAAAAGTTTTCTTCTAGTTTCTTTGGTGGGGTAGATCTCTGGAGCTCTCAGGTTGGAGAAACACAAACCATTCAGTGCTTCCCAGTAGCCACTCAAACAAGTAGGAAGCCTTTTGCAGAGTCTGTGGGAAAGAAAGTTGTGTATTGAAACCGATCTGCTTTTTGAAAAAGTACAGAAGCCAAATGTAGAAATTGCCATAAATGGGCACCCACATGCAACCAGCTTGGAACCCTCAGCAGTGAATCCTTGAAACTTAGGGGAAGATCCCAGACCAGGTCAGACCAAACTCGACCTTAGGTTTAGCCTCATCCTGGACCTGGGTTGTCATGTGGTATATAATCACTATTGTATGTGGATTATACAGTTTGCATTCTAAATGAGGACTCAGCCTTTACCCCTCCAAGGATTATCAAGTACCAGGGCAAGGAAGGGGCTATCTAACATGGCACAAAAGCCAAACAGTATTATTTTGGCAAATATAAAAATGAATTAATATAAAGTATTGCCAAGAGTGAGGGGAATAAGCATTTCATATTCTAGTTGGTGAAAGTGTTCACTCAGAGTTGAGGACGTAGCTCAAGGGTAGATCACTTACCTAGCATGCACGAGGTCCCAGGTTTGAAACTCTGAAGGAAGGAAGGGAGGAAGGGAGGCAGGAAGAGAGGGTTAACTGATACAGAATTTTTAGAAGGAAATTTGGGGAACTCCCTCATAACTTAAACGTGTATAAGTTATGACCTACATGTCATAATGTAGCCTTCAGGACTGTTAGGAGATGTGTGTAAAGACACATACTCAAAGATGCACTTTGCAGCATTGTTTCAAATCTTTTTAAATGGAAATAAACTAGATCTAACAAGAAAGGAGTGCATAAGTTCCTTTAATTCAGAGGTCTCCTACTTTATTAAAAGAATGGCAATTATATATGTTGTACACATGTATATGTAGTACAACTCCATTACTGATTTCCAAAAATCACGTATGCATATATCTATATATATTTACAAATAAGCATGAAAAACACTGCAAGTAGACACTCCAACCTCCAACAGTAGTTGCTTTTAGGGAGCAGGACTATATTGAGGGAAGTAAGCTTCACTCTTTCAGTATATCTTTCTATAATTTTTGAATTTGGTATAATTGGTACTAATTTTATTATTTAAAAAATATTTCAAACAGGTTAAAATTATTTCTTAAGACTATTTTTCTCCAAGTGTTTCCTTACATCAACCCATTTAATTATATATTTCAGGCTCATTAATTAGATATAACATAATATGCTATCATTGATTAGGTTTCAATTTTTTTTTTTTTAATGTGGTGCTGAGGATTGAACCCAGTTGCACACATGAGAGGCAAGCACTCTACCTTTCTTTCTTTTTTTTTTTTTGGTACTAGGAATTGAACTCAGGGGCACCCAACCACTGAGCCACATTCCTGGTCCTATTTTGTATTTTCTTTAGAGACAGGGTCTCACTGAGTTGCTTAGTGCTTCCCTTTTGCTGAGGCTGGCTTTGAACTCTGTGATCCTCCTGCCTCAGCCTCCCAAGCTGCTGGGATTAAAGGCGTGCACCACCACACCCGCCTTAGGTTTCAGTTTTGTTAGATAAAACCTAAACCAATCTGGACTCCTTGAAATTAAATCCAGGTAAACCAAATTGGCTTTTGGATTTCCCAAAGCATTCTTAGTTTCAGTTTAGTACCAGGTCCTGGGAACTCTATTTGTGTCTTTTAACCCTTGCACTTTAATATTGCCTCTTACAAAGAATAATATTTTTTAAAAACCCATAGATTCCTTTTTAATAAATTGTCACTAACCAGGTCTCCCAGATTCTGTAACTGATTGTATATTTTTATAAATGTAAAGACAGATGTTCACATTTCATTTTGCTAAATTTCACCCTGTAGATTTCAGTACTCCATTCTGATCTGTTAACATAATTTTGGGTCTTCACTTTTATTACACTAGATACTCCCCAAGTATTACATGGCCTAAAATTTTAACCATTGTGAATATAAAATATTCAGACAACAGACACAAAGAAATGTTTTAGACAGTAGAAACCTACTTAAATTTAACCCAAAGGAAATTTGTCGGATGGAGACAGATATCTCACTAACCCCAAGATGGGAATGAAGCTTAGCCTGGGAGAAGCAACGCAGGAGACAGGCCATACTTTCTCCATCTTATCTCTGTCTCAGTCCCCCCACACCTACCTCTCATTCCTCCCAATACTTCTCTCACCCCCCACCCCCACCCCCTCCCACTGGTCTCTGCTTGAATGTCTGCAGGACTACAGACCCACCAAGTATGGGCCTTGGTGTAGCTAAAACTCTTTACCCTGAATTTTTATTCAGGACCCAGGCACCTTCCTGATCACCAATCCCAGGCACAGTATTTCTACTGGCTTCTCCTCGACTTTACCCCAATCAGCCAGAAGACTCACCCTGATATTCAGAGTTTACACCTTTCCTTTGGCCCCAAACCAAAGCCCAGGGTCAGTTTCCAGAAAGTAGTACATTGAGTTTGATGTCCAATCTGGGCCAATAGAATCCAAGGGGACAAGTCCAAGCAGAATAAACATGGCTTCCCAGACTATCCTCTGTGGCTGGGTGCAGTCCTCAGAGAAAGAGATGTAATATTGATAACCCCCTGATGAACAGTAAATGGCCCAAATTTGTTAACTATAGAAATATCGGTGGACATTCACTCCACGTCTAAGATGTGTATGAAGTCCATCTAAATTCTAAATAAGGGCAAGGCTTCAGAGGTACAGGACAGAGTATAATTTAGTGGTTAAGCATATTAACTTTAGAGTCAAGCTAGTTATGTATTCCTAATTCTGCACAAACTAGCTTTTATTTTTTAATTTTTATTTTTTGGTACCCGAGATTGAACTCAGGGGCACTCAACCACTGAGTCACATCCCCAGCCCTTTTTGTATTTTATTTAGAGACAGGGTCTCACTGAGTTGCTTAGTGCCTCACTTTTGCTGAGGTTGGCTTTGAACTCTGAGTCCTCCTGCCTCAGCCTCCCAAGCCACTGGGATTACAGGCCTGTGCCACCTTGCCCAGCCTTCAAACTAGCTCTTTTAATCTCAGGAAAGTTAATCTCTTTATGCTTCAGTTTTCTCACCTATAGTATGGCAAAAATAATAGGTCAGTTCATGGGGTAGCTTTAGATATTAAATGAGATTATATATCAGGCTATGTAGCTCAAAGAAAGCATTTCATTAAATGGTAACTCTCATTATTAATATCATTATATCACCATCAGTATTATTAAGAAGTAAAGTTATAATGATGTAATAAATGGCTTTGGTTTGGCATGATACATTTATTAACCATAAGCTTATTTTTCATGTGTATAGATATAGATATTGTGGAATGTATAGGGAATGTATAGAGTATGCATAGGATATATAGGACAGTATATAGCACATATGTGATAATACAATGTAAAAATAAATATGTAGGATAAATATAGTAGGATATGTAGGATAATAAAAATATGCCCTTCCTGTAACTGGGTTCCTTGAGTGGGAGGGGGACACTGCCTGTTCCACATCTCTGTAAGCACCTGAAGCATTGCACAAGGAGACACTAAACACATGATTCATAGAAATGTCAGCCTTGTCATGTAATGGCATGAGGAGAAAATACCCTAGAGAAACAGTCCTTTTGTTTAAAATAGAAACTTTGAAGGAAGCCAACTTAACACATGACAACTGAATGTCTAGTTCCCCTGGAGTGGGAGTGGTGGGAAACAAGTCCCTTCATTTCTGGAAATGAGAAGGGGAATTACAGGTATCCAAAAAGCCACATTTCTTTTTTGGTGGAAACAAATTCTCCAGCCAAGCCAGGCACCCACCGAGTAGGCGATTTCACTTCACCGTCACTTCACAAAAGACTTCCAAATTCACTGCGGCAGACACCGAAAAAAAAAAAAAATGTTAAGTACATCCTAGCTGGGAGGAGACGGAAGCCTCCACGCTCAAAGGTTTGCAATAATAGGATTCATTAAAAAAAAAAAAAAAAAGACAGATGGGATTAGAAAATGTTGCAGTGAAGACTGGAATGAGATGAGCTCACAGCCCCAGCCTGTCTTTTGTGGACCTACACAATGATCCGGAGAGCCAGACTGGATTAGGAAACCTCGCGACTAGGGGACCAGAGACAGGCTGCCGGTTCCCAGACACTTGGAGGAGAGAAGGCTGAAAGGATGCATCAGATCTACAGCTGCAGCGATGAAAATATAGAAGTTTTCACCACTGTGATTCCTTCCAAGGGTGAGTACAATTGCCCTTGACTGTCCCTCACCTAGCGTGGCATCTGATGCGGGAGGGTGAGGACCCTCACGTGCTGTTTTACTACGGGAGGGGGGGGACCCTCGGGGCCCTGAGGTGGGATGATGGGTCCTCGGTTTGGATGGTATTGGTTTTTTTTTTTTTTTTTTCTTTTTCCTTGTTAAAAGGAGACACAAGGATAAACATCAATCATTGCCAAACAATCATCTATCAAGGGGGAGGGACATGAGGGCTGTTCCATACCCGTTTCGCAGGAACTCAGTCCCGGCACCCCAACAGGCGGAATGGAAGTGACAGCCAGTCATTGTTAAGGAAACAGGTACGAAAACCAAATTCCCAGGACAGTTAGACAGATTCATTTTCTCCAGGGAGCAACTGGCTTCTGAAAAGAGAACCAGCTGGCTCAAAAGTATGATTTCTAACTATGCCATCAAAGGCTTCCAGCAGCGATCTGAAGTCCAGCGAAGCAGTTGAATAGTGTCCGGACCCCATGCTGGCCTCCCCGCAGAACCCCCCGGGGTCACCCTGCCTAACCCGACCTGGCCCTGCATGCCCAAAGGTGCATGACCTTATCGGCCCTTTATCAGCGTTAAGTCCCGGGAAGGGCTTTGTGTGAGCTCAGTGGATCCAGAAGGTCCCTCCTGGGCAGCTCCCTCACCCCTCCAAAGCAGGAGGCCCACTGTCCTATCGCCTCTGCTCCAGCCCTGCAGACCCTGTTCTGCCCCGAGAGCCCCTGGCTCAGGCTTAGCCCCGGTCTCATTGTCAGACGTGAATGAAGAGGGCTGGATGTTTGCTGGTAGTGTGAGACCTCATTCAAACAATTCCTTTCTTGCTCTTCTTCCTCCTGTATCAGCCTCCGACAGGGCCAGGGCCAGGGCTCAGGGCGGGGGGAAGGGCGAGCCTCAGCCTGGCCACAAAGAGACAGCCCACAGAACAAATCAAGCTTGAGACATCTACTTCCAGAGAGACAGAGACTGAGAGACAGAGAGAGAGGAATAAAGAGCTGGGAGTCTGCCCAAGTGTAGGAGTTGAAATTTTCCCTGCAGATCCTGAAAGTCAAAGCTGACCCTCTGACCCAGCAGTTCCATTTTAGGGTAAAAAGCCCAGGGGTACTCTCACTTGTGAATGCTCACAGTGGCATCCATACTAAGAGGATAAAAATGGAGAATAACCTAAATGTCCATGAAAAGGGGAATGGATAATGTGGTGCCATCAAAATATGGAATTCTCCACAGTGGTCCACAAAAAAAAAAAAAAATGAAATAGATTTATGTAGGGATGGACATAAATGAATAATTTTATTTTATCTTTTGCGATGCTGGGGAGGCAGCCTACTAGGCAAGCATTCTGCCACTGAGCTCTGCTACTAGCCCTATAAATGCATGTTGAGTAAGGAGGTGAAAGAAGCAGGTTGAGAAATTATACATGAATGAGAGCATTTCTGTAAATTTGGAAATACAAAATATTATTTCTGGATACATATCTGGAGAAAAGTATGAAAACAGACCAGAAAGATATAGATAAAATTGGTGATCTCTGTAGCCCCGAGGAAAGGGAGAAATAGAATCATGAGATGTTTAGAAAGGGAACCTAAATTTTCCTCTGAATTTTACTTCTTTTATGAGGAGAAAGCAAATTGGAAGCAAAGAGGAAAATAATGTCTTTCTTCTGTAATTAAAAATTGTTGAAAGGGAGAAAAAGTCAGAGATAGAGTGGTTAAGAGACTGCTGCCACTTCTGTGCTAATGTGATCTTGACTAAGCTACTTGACCTCTCTGAGTTTCCACTTCTGTAAAAGTGAGCAACAGAACTCTAGCTCCCAGGATTATTAGCATGGGGAATCAATGAGTTAATATATTAAGTGTCTAGAACAGTAGCTGACATGTAGTAAGTACCGGTGAATACATCACTTACAAAGTGATTTCTATTTTTACTGTAAGTGGAGCAATGAATATATTCAAAGATAAATATTTAATACTGTATTCCTTCCTTGCCTTTTCATTCATGACCTCTTCCCAGTACTAAACCCAGTACTCATCCGTATTCACAGACATTTCACAGCTCAGAAAGTTCCTCTCTAGAAAAGGAGTATATTTGCAGTTTTCCACTGGATCATAAATGGGAGTCCCCACCCCTACCCCCTTCCACTTCTCTGCCTCTTGTGGCTTCTCAATGCCTTCAAGCAGAAGGGCTCTGGGTGAAGGAAGCTGGTGCCAGCGACCTTGAGTCACTGCTGATGAGAGAGGTTGCGACCCTTCCTCACATCCCCACATGTCCTAACTGCAGAAATGAAAGTTGTCTTGACTTTACCTAACAGGAGTCGCCCTCCCAGATGGGCCCTTTCCCAAAGGCAGTGGATCAGCCATGATTATCAATGTGCAATGACCCAAACTTGCCAGGCATAAGTTGGGCAGTGCAGCCTAGTGGTTACAAATCTGTGCTTTGTTCCACCATTAACCGAGTGGCCCCTCAGTGCCCTCAGGATCCCCATCCCTACAGTGGAGTTATTGAAGAGTGCGAATCTCCGTGTGAGCCAATATTACATCTACCACGTATCACATTCCTTTTTCCAAGACACACATGTTGGGCTTGGTCTAATATCTACATATTCAAAACTGATCCGTCTTGATACCTCACAAAATACTGCACTAGAAAATGCTGTGGTGTTTCTAAAGTGTTTTAAAGACACAGGACATGGGCCAAATCTGTAACTGAGAGCATGTGTGTATGATCACTTTGTAGACAAAAAAGAGAGCCCTTTAAGGAAAAGATTTTTTACAGACACAATTCACAGTAAATACAAAAGATAAAGGTTGTGGTTTTACTAAGAAGTTGCACCAGAAGTTACTTCCTGAGCTACACCAGAGTGGATTCATTTCTAGGTGGGACAGTACTGTGGCATCAAAAATAATTCTTTTGGGGATAAGCAACAATAGGGAGGGAGAGGTGAGGGGAATCAGGGAAGAGCAGGAGGAAATGGGGAAGTTTTGGGAGAAGCAGAATGTCTAGCAGAATGCTACACTCTCCAGACATTGACCTACCACCTGTCCTTATCATGTTAGCAAAGTCCTAATAATCACCATTAATTTGTGGGAACTTGCTCTTTGCCAGGTCTGGGCAAGGGTTTATGAAGTTCAGTTCATTTAATCCTTGACAGAACATTCTGAATTAGAAGCCATTGTTATTCCTGACATGATTATTTCCTGTCTTACACATGAGAATAGTGAGGCTTCCAGAGGGTGAGTAATTTGCCTATCACACAACTGGCAAGTGGCCAAGTTCAAATTCACACCCAAGTAGAGGGAATCTGGAGTCTGGGCCATTAACCAGCACACTGTCCTTCAGGCTGCAGGCTCTAAGGGCTTTGCAGAAGATAACAAGGATAGCACTCATATGTCACTTAACGGATATGTGATAAGAAGTCAAAGTCGTTTCAGTTCTAAGCAAGATAGGGACGTGGTGGGATTTCAGTTCCAGTAAATTGCCCTAGCAGTAATGTAGAAAATAGATGCCTAGATGTCTCCATTTCCAATAAAATTCACACTTTTTTCCAACAAATTAATATAAATTTTTATGGTTAATTGATTTCTTTAAACTTTTTTAAAAATTGTGGTAAAATATACATGTCACAGAATTTACCACTTTAACCATTCTAAGGGTGTTGTTCAGTAGCATTATATACATTCAGTGTTGTATGACCTTCATTGCCATCTATCTTCAGAAAATTTTCATTGTCCTAAACTGAAAACCATGTTCTCACTAAACATAACTCATCATTTTCCCCATTCTCCCAGTTCCTTGTAACTTCCATTCTACTTTATACCTCTGTGAATTAGACTACTCTAGGTATCTTGTGTAAGGGAACAATAACAGTATTTGTCCTTTTGTGTCTCACTCATTTCACCCAGCACTTTTCAAGAGTCATATGTAGCACATTTCAGAATTTCATTCCTTTTCAAGGCTGAATAATATTTCATTGTATGGCTATACCACAATTTGTTTATCCATTCATCTGTTGATGAGCTGAGCATTTGCATTGAGTTTTAGCTGTTGTGAACAACACTGCAGTTAACTTTGGTGTAGTCAAGCCAAGTAATATTTTAAATTGAATGGAACCCTGCCTTTTCCCATCCCCTCCTCTATGACCCTGTTTTGAATCCAAACCACCTCAATGTTTTTAGGGTCATTCTCTAAAACTTTTTTTTTTTAAATCTCTCTTTGCAGTGTCCAGTCCATCCAGGAGAAGAGTCAAAAGCTCTCAACACCTCTTGACCAAAAATGTAAGGAAACTTTAATTTTGATCCTCTTTGGCTACCTTTCATTACAAAAGCAATGCTGGCTTCTTTACCCCTCTGCTGTCAACAACAGGAGTGTTCTCTATGCCCCGTGTGCTATTGCTGCATTTTGTCCTGCACTTAGCTGAGTAACTGACAAATGTCAACCAGATACTAAACAGCCCTGAAGTGGACTCCCCTGCTCTGTTTTCCCCAGACACAAAGTGTAAACCCTGCTTTACATGCATATTTTGTTCTTGGTTAAAAAACCGAGTCCATGGCATGGACATAGCATCCCTGACCTAAGGGTTTTCCTATTGCTGGCATTACAGTTCCATTTATCACTATTAGAAATAGCACAGCAATGAACTTACCTGTGAAACATACGATTCTTTTGGATTAATTCCTTGGTGCATAGATCTCAAAGTAGCATTAACAAGTAAAGTTCCATTCCAAGAACATGCATACAAATATACCTGCACACGTTCATCAAATATTTGCATTTCTGCTATGTGAAAGATATTGCACTAGATGCAGGGATTCGTGTTTTTGAAATACAATTTCTGCTTATAGTTTTGCCACGTCCTTCCAGAAATTCTGAACAACTTTTGGGCTTCTAGCAACGCTTTCCATTTACCTCCAACTTTACCAACATTGGCTTTCATTTTTTATAATGTCTTGCTTCTCTAATATGTATATGTAGTAACTTGAAATTAGTTTACAGCTCTTTAGAGCCTAATAATGTTATGTGTTTTGCATTTTATATATCCATTTCTTTGTGTAAAAACTGTCCATATACCTTTGTACTTTAAGAGGGAAACTTATTGCTTCTTAGTTATACTAGAGTTTCTATTTCTATCACAATTTTTCATAAAATACTATTTTGATTTATTAAATATGTCAAATTTTCAAAGCCTATTCTCTATTCAGAAAAAAATTAAGTACTGGGAATGATATCAGGTTTTACTTTAAATATAATGCTTTTAATTTTAAAAAGCAGTATGTGACCATTGTAAAATGTCAAACATTACAAGATATAAAATATAGGATCACAAAATCCTGAGATGCTATAGAACATAATGGTTAGCTATGTGAACTTTAGAGTCAAATTGCCCAGTTTTAGATCCCAGTTCTAAAACAGGCATGGTAGTGCATGCCTATAATCCCAAAGGCTTGGGAGGCGGAAGCAGGAAGATTGAAATTTCAAAGCTAGCCTCAGCAACTTGGTGAGGCCCTAAGCAACTTTGTGATACCTTATCTCAAATTTTTAAAAAATAAAAATAAAAAGGGCTGGGGATGTGACTTAGTGGTTAAGCGCCTCTGGGTTCATTCCCTGGGTTAAAAAAAAAAAGAAATCCCAGTTCTATCAATCTGTAGTTATGTGACCGTGAACAAGTTGCTAGCATTAAAGTAGGGATAATAAGCATACATATCTCAAGAACCATGGAAAGGAGAAAGTGACTTAAAATATACAAAATGTTGAGTTTGGAGACTGACACATTCAGTAAGCACTGGAAGTTTTTTAAGTGACATTTTCCCATATATTATAATTATACTATATCATCTAATAATATATTGTTTTGCAATTGCTTTTTTATTTCACTTAACAAGAGATCTTGAACATCTTTCCATGCCAATTAATAACCTGTAGATCAACCAGGTCCTGTGGCACACATCTGTAATCCCAGTGGCTCAGGAGGCTGAGGCAAGAAGATCAGGAGTCCAAAGCCAGCCTCAGCAAATTAGCAAGGTGCTTAGCAACTCAGTGAGACCCTGTCTCTAAATAAAATACAAAAAAAAAAAAAAAAAAGGGCTGGGGATGTGGCTCAGTGGTTTTGCGCCCCAGTACCAAAAGAAAAAAAAAAAAAAAAAAGGCAGTTCTACCCATTCTTAGTGGCTACAGAGTATTCCAATGTATAAAATGAATGTAATATTATTTACCAAGCCAAATCTGGATGCTTTTCGTTTCATTATTTGACCATGTCATCCATAAATAGCATTCCTCCATTTTTTTTCTATTAAGAAAATGCCACAAGGGGCTGGGGTGGTGGCTCAGTGGTAGAGCACTTGCCTAGCATGTGTGAGGCACTGGGTTCAATTCTCAGCACCACATATAAATAAATAAAAGGTCCATTGACAACTAAAAAAATGTTGTAAAAAAAAGAAAATGCCACAAGAAATATTACTGAAAATATTTTTATTTATTTATCTTCAAAATGTTTTTTTAAAATTTTTTATTTGTTCTTTTTAGTTATACATGACATATATATATATGGAGTATAACTTCCCATTCTTGTGGTTCTACATGATGTGGAGTTACACTGGTCGTGTATTCATACATGAACATAGGAAAGTTATGTCTGGTTCATTCTACTGTCTTTCCTATTCCCATGCACCCTCCCTTCTCCCCCATTCCCCCTGTCCAATCCAGTGACCTTCACTCTCCCCCTCCCCCATTGTGAATCAGCATCTGTATATCAGAGAAAACATTTGGTCTTTGGTTTTTTGAGATTGGCTTATTTCACTTAGCATGGTAGTCTCCACTTCCATCCATTTACTGGCAAATGCCATGATTTCATTCTTCTTTGTGGCTGAATAATATTCCATTGTGTATATGTACCACATTTTCTTTGTCCATTGACCTGTTGAAGGGCACCTAGATTGATTCCACAGCTTAGCTATTGTGAATTGAGCTGCTAAGAACATTGCTGTGGCTATTTCACTATAGTATGCTTGTTGCTGAAAGCTCGGTCCTTGTCCCCGATGCCAATCCAAACATGAGGACACAAGTTTTGAGAAAAAGGAAAAAGATAGTTTATTGCTTTGCTAGCAAAGGAGAAACACAGGGGATTCCTGTCCCAAAGGCTGTGATTCTGTCCATCAACAGGAACAGGGTTTTTTTTTTTTTTTTAAAGAGGTAATTCAGAGAAAATGAGATTAGGGAGGAGAGATCAGGAAGGAGAAGGTTAGGGTAAAGAAGATCAGGGAGCAGAAGATTAGGGAAAAGAAGGTCAGGGAGAAGAAGGTTGGGAGGAAAAAAAAAAAAGACATGTAAGTTTCAAAGCCACAAGGGATATACTCAAAGCATCAAGTGAACCCTTGTTACATGCTGATTTTAAGTCCTTTGGGTATATGCAGAAGAGTGAGATAACTGGGTCAAATGGTGGTTCCATTCCAAGTTTTCTAAGTAATATCCGAACTGCTTTCCAGAATTATTGCACCAATTTGCAGTCTCACCAGCAATGTATGAGTGTTATCTTTTCCCCTACATCCTCACCAACATTTATTGCTACTTGCATTCTTTTTTTAAAAAAAAATATTTTTTAGTTGTACACATACCTTTATTTATTTATTTATTTTTATGTGGTGCTGAGGATGGAACCCAGGGTCTCGCACGTGCTAGAGGCGAGCGCTCTACCTCTGAGCCACAAACCCCAGCCCTCCCACCACTTGTATTCTTGATGATTGCCGTTCTGATTAGAGTGAGATGAAATCTCAGTGTAATTCTAATTTGCATTTTTCTAATTGCTAGTGATGTTGAACATTTTTTCATATATTTGTTGACCATTTGTATTTCTTCTTCTGTTAAGTGTTTTTTCTTTAAAATGTTTTTGAAGACAAATTTATAGCTATGGAAATGCTGGGCCAGAGAATATGAATGTTGAAAACAAATTATAGCCATTGCTGAGTGCCTAACAACTTTTTTTTAAAGTACCTTTTCCAGAAGAGCATACCAATACAGCATGGTATCAATGCTGTTAAACTTTGACAATTTGATAGGTGATGAAAATGTCCTAGGGTTTTAATTTGTATTTCTTTATTTTTAATGTAATTCTTCTTTTCATAGATTTATGGATCATGTCAATATTTTCCCTCTATGGGTTTCTTATTCATGTCTTTTTTTGGAGGGGTCAATTGCATGCCTTTTTGTAAAGACTTTGAGAATATTTTACACATTAAGAAAGAGAGGGCTGGGGTTGTGGCTCAGGGGTAGAGCGCTTGCCTAACATGCATGAGGCATTGGGGTCGATCTTCATCACATCAACACATAAAAATAAAAATAAGATACTTTGTCCAAAAGAAAAAGATATTGTGTCCACCTAAAAACTAAAAAATAAATGTTTTTTGTTTTTAAGAAAGAAAGAGAGGGGCTTTTAATAGGTAGAAAATTTGACTGTAGGGCACAAGATTCTATCTATTTCATGCTCCCAAAGTCTAGAAGGAAAGTTCTTCTGATCTTCTAGAAACAGTGGGAGAGGTACTGCCCAAAATGGAAAGGGAAAGAAATGCTTGAAGGTAATTTAGACCTTAAGGCAATTTCACAGATCTTTTGGTCTTTGGGTGGAGAAGCTTCTTGTTTTCAAATATTCATTCGCCCTCAGGGCGGGCAGCTCAGTGATGCCCTCTGCCTCTGAGCTCTCCTCTGAATCTCTAATTTCCCCTATCAGTTGCCCAATCCCTCCTCTGCTTTTAAAATCCAATCCCCAGTTACACAGCACAGGCAAATTAAAAAAGACAGGCCTCTTATTCCACCTCCACCTCCCTCTTTTACAGACGGAGATAGTGAGTCCCAAGAGAAAAGAATTGTCTCTGGTCTCATTTCCCCAACCAACTGGCTCTTGGTCCTATTTTTCCTCTGGAGTCCTTTTTGTCTTCTCCAATTTGGTGGTCTGGGAGCAATTCTGATTGATTATCTTGCCTGGGAAAATTCATCTTATTTTGCAACCCTACCAATCAATATTTACAACTTTCTTTGGCTGGGAATTCTTGTTTGTGTCTCCTCCCACCCCTTGGGCTACTGTGTGGATGGATGTCAGTTTTTTCCTATACAAATATCTATTTCCTCTCTGAGCTATCTTAACGCCAGGGCTTCCTTCTTCTCTGACTCTTCCTGAGTTACATCTTTCCCTAAATCTAGGGCACAGTCACATGTTTCCCTAGACAGTCTGATCTGTGTCTGTTTGTCTGCCTGTATATCTGTCTTCTTTTATTCCTCCCTCCTTCCTTCCTTCCTCCGTTCTTCCTCTTTTTGATACTTTGGCTACTTTATTTACATCTTTATCATACTGATGTCCAGGGATGTCACAGGAGTAGCTCAAGGGAATAGACTTATACAAAGGAATGGTTCAGTTAAGCCTTTTGGCATGATGGAGCCACTTCCTCTGTGATTCACAGCCTCTTCACAGTGAGCAGAATGGCTGTCATCAGGAAAGATGGAAAAACGAGATTGCAAATGTTACATTGTCCCCAGATTTCAAGCTTGTGGGGGAGGGACTTGTGCAATGAGCTCCTGATTTTTTTGAAATGCACTGAGCAATCAATTACACTTGAAAATTCTTATCTGGATGTAGGCACTTGTGTGGGTTTATGCAGAGCATTCACTTAGGAGGCATGAAACCATGGTTCACATTGGCTCTGTTCCTTACAGCCCTGTGACCTTGGTAAGGCACATGACCTATCTTGGCCTCATTTTTCCTCTGTATAAAATCAGAGAATTGGATTAGAACATTTCTGTGGATCTTTTCAGCCCCAAATCATGATGAATCTCCACCATCTAGGTATTGACTGTCTTTCTAACTCCGTACCAGCTCTCCAGACTGGCAGATAAGCAGAAGTGTAGATCTCAGATGTCAGAGGAGGAAATGAATCCTGAGGCTTCTGGGTTAGCCTGCATCTTTGCTCTTCCTATTTCTGACCTCTCCAAGATCAGCAGGGATGCATCAGTTTATTATACTAATGCTTGTGGTTCCAATATATTCCCCTATTTCAGTAAGCATTTTAATGACCTAGGAAAGGAAAATTCTAGCATTAAGACCTTTCCCTTTCTCTTTCTTCCCCATTGATATCTGTCAATACCATCCTACCTCTCTAATCTTACCCCTATTCTCAGGGTACTAAAAAGTCTGCTCTCAGGCCACTTTGTTCTAAGATCACCAGTAACAAGCCCAGACTACGTGCTATAGACCAGAACATGAACCAGGCTGTCAGGAGACTGCTATTGGCACTTGGGGGAGGGGCTGGAGAAGATACCCTAAAGAGGCGCTTGGCCCTAAGTGGTGACCTGGGAAGTAGCTGGTCTCACCTCCACCCCAGGAAACTTCCTCCATCCACCTGTTCTCCTACCTCACTGTGGCATCAGGAACTGTGTAGGGAAGGGATAGGAAAGTGGTATTTCTTGTTCCTGCAAGGGAACATTTGCCTCCCCTTCAAAGGAGGAAATAACGGAAAGCAGTGGTGCCTTCTCATAGACTCCCCAGGTTTTCCCATCCTGCCTCACTTTCTCCTTCTACAGGATGGGTGTGAAAACACCACCCAGGTCCTCACTCCTCCTCCCAGAGGAATGCTGGGCGTGTGGAAATAAAATCAGGCACCCCTGTCATGAACAGTTGACAATGAAGAGCCCTGACAGTGCCAATGTATTACAATAATATTAAAGATTTAATTTTTCTCCACTGCATTGAAATGCTACCTTGTTCTCATATTTAAAAAAAAAAAAAATTCATTCATTTTTGCTTCATCATCCAGTAAAAGCAACAGCACTGTTTATGTGTGGACAACTGAAAGGGATCCTCATTCTGTCCTGGAGATTTACATTTCCAGGGGTTCCTGATGCCACACAGTACACGTGTCCAGGGGATAGGGCTCAGAACTACCACCATTAATCCAGAAAATTCCAGATCCTGGGTAACATCATGGCAGAGATCAGTGCTACAAGGAAGGAAGGAGAGTGGAGATGAGCAGCTCACACAGAATGTGAGTGTGGTGCACTCACCACTGCATTGACACACACACACATGAGCTGGCCCAGGGGACCAGTGCTACCCTCAGCTGCACTGAAGGCTTGCTGGAAACCCAACACGATCACCACTTTCTGCACTGCCTCAAGGGAAAAATAAAAGGGATTTTCAATGCCAGGGAAGAATCCTAAATGCTCCTGAATTTTCTTCAGCTTTTTCCAAGGCACAGAATGAGAGAGTTTGGGTCCTAAAATGGACCCAAGATGATTGAGTAACCCATTTAAGACCAAATGTGAGCTACGTCCATTTTTTTTAAGCAAAAGACTATTTGTGGTAAAGTAAAGCAAAGAGTGACAGCTTCTCTTATATTCCTCTGTGGGTGACATAAAAATCTGGCCTTCAGAAGACTTAAAACCACTCTCAGTGCTGTAGATAAATATATGGCATGAAAAAAAGAGCAAAATGTGCTACTAAAAATCCTACTAATGGTGGACTTTTACTATGCCTCAGTTCAGCAAGGGTCAGCACTAATATCCCCTTTCCACATAATTATAAAGTGTCAGAATTGAAGTATGAACTCAGGTTGGCCTGACCCCAAATGGAGTTTTTATCTTCATTAATAATCTGATAGCAGGGAGGAAATAATTATTGTCTTAATTTACATTTAATTATTAATGGTGTTCAGTATCTTTTCATGCTTATTGACCATTTATATTTCTACTGTCAATTACCAGATCATACCTTTGCCTCATTTTTCTATATCTTCCAAATCTAATTGATTTGTAGGAGTTCTATGAATATAGAGGTAATTCTCCATTATATGTAACAAATGTTATATTGAGCTATATTCTACTCTAGTGTTAGTTGCTGTTTAATATATGGTTTTGATCTGCTGGTATTCATTTCCAGAAATGAACAGAGATCTATTTTCCCTAAAGGTCTGATATTTATTCCAATAATATTAAAGATTTAATTTTTCTCCACTGAGTTTAAATGCTACCCTATTCTCATATTTTTAAAAAGCCATTCATTTTTGCTTCAGCATCCTCCAAAAGCAACAGAATTGTTTATGTGTGGACAACTGAAGGGGATCTGCCAGAGGCTAGACTGTAAAGAGATGAAACTGTCTGCCTCACTCACAAATGCACAGTGAGTCCAAGATCTGGTACAGACTGTGCCCTTGCAGGACAGCTGTGGATGGAAGAAGCTAGTGAATGGGTGAATGCAGACCTCAGCAAAGCTGCAGAATATTGGAGGTTCTAATGAGGTTCAAGGAGTGAGGACATTCAGAGTGAATGACCCCAGTGTCCTGGATATGGATAAAATATGCAGGATCTGAGCCCAGACTCTAAGACTCCCTTCATGACTCCCCATATTAAGATAAAATGGCTGCTATTATTTGTCTCTGGTTTTTACATGTAAATTATTTCAATGTCTTAAGTATATTTGTCCTTTGGTATCCTCAGTATGGGTACCCCCTGGGATACCCAAAATTTACAATGTTCAAGTTCCTTATATGAAATGATGTAGTATTTCCATGCTCCATAAGCTCCCTATACGCTAAAGCATCTGTAAATTACTTGTTACATAAAACAATGAAATGCTACGTAAAAAGTCGTTCTACTTATTATTTAGGGAATAACAAGAAAAAAAGACTGTATATGTTCAGTAATGACACAATTTTTTTTTCTTGGATGGAACCCAGGGGCACTCTACCGCTGAGCTACATCCCACAGCCCTTTTTATTTTGAGATAGTGCCTCAATAAATTGCTAAGGCTGGCCTTGAACTTGTGATCCTCCTTCCTCAGCCTCCCGAGTCTTTGGGATTACAGGCTTATGTTAACGCTCCTGTTTTGCCAGCAATTTTTGTTTGCTTTCTTGTTTTCTTTTTTAAAACCTGAGAATCAGTTGGGCCTCAAGTCTCTTCCTAGTTCTTCCTTCCTCTAGAGCATCCAAAAACCTTTCGCTGCATAAACAAGGATGTTGGCCATTTAGCTATAAAGACCATAAGACCCTGGTTTCCAGACCATCTTCCCTTCAAATAGCCTGTCCTGTTATCAAAACACCTCTGGCCATGGAGCAGCTGTCCTGATGGCCCAGGCACACAACTGTAGAGGGACCTCCAGAACCCTCACTTTCTTGCACCATGACACTATTTGACAGTCTGAAGTCAAGTTTTGTACCCAATCTTTCTTGCTGCTCCTAGCATGCACTGGAATGAGGAAGTCTGCAAAAATCCTTGTCCATACAGGGTCCATCTTGCAAAGCTCCAGTGCTGGGGCCGCAGGTCTTGAGTCCGGAGAGGAATAAGCTGACTGTCCCTTTTCCGCCCGGCAGGTGGTGATCGAGTCGGACCTCTACACTCCCCGGCCGCTGGAGCTGCTGCCTCACCGCAGCGACCGTCGGGATGCAGTTGATGGCCGCAGGTTCGGCCGGCTGCAGAACGCTAGGCCTCCAGGGGCGCATCCCACCAAAACCCCCGCCAGACCTGGTAAGTGAGTCCCAGGCCCGGTTCCTAAACCGCGCTGCGCGCAGTGACCTCCATAGAGCAGGTTGCACGCCTATGCGTCCTGTCTGGTGTTTTCCAAAGGTCCATGTGTTCCTCTGGCAGCCTCAGGCAGGCCAGGTGAGCAGAGCACCTTGGGCGTGGGGCGCCAGGTGAGCCAACATCTGCGCCTTTCCCACACAAATGCTGTTTCCACTAGGAAAGCACCTGCTCTCAGGCCTCACCCCCACCGCAGCCCTACATCACCTGCCTATAAAACACTGGCTTCTGCCTGTGCACCCAGTGAAGTTGCTCTTGTCTACCATCTTGCTCCTCAGGGAGCAGTGCTGTACTCAGGGGATGCAAATCTTTACGCTCAGGGACATGAAAATCTTGACCCATGAAGCGTGAAGAAGTGAAGGATGCTCACATTATTTACTTAACTCGTGTGTGTGTGTTTGCCAATTTACCAAATTTGACTTAATCTATAAAAAGAATTTAGGGGCAAATCTGTTTTGGAAACTGGAAACTTAACAATCTTACCTTGGTGGGTTTTTTTTGTTTGTTTGTTTGTTTGTTTGTTTGTTTTTTGTTGTTGTTGTTTTATTTTGTTTTTTATAAATGGCTTCCACCCAAACAGTGAAATGGGATTCTGCCTGTGGCCCACTCAAGTCTATGATGACATTTAGCCTTTAATTTTTTGCAGGTTTAGGATATTTCTGTTATGCCTACAACCTGAAGTTATTCATATTTTTAATTCCAAAAATACAAAATAGAAAGTTTAGGGTGTCCTTCTCAAAACTTTTGTGCATTAACAATGTTATATTCTATAAGAACTGCAATAAGACTCCCTTGAGCGTGTCCCTTCACCCATCTTCTCTTCCCATCCACTCATGCGGCTCCTCTTGTTTTCATTTTCCCTGGTTGGGTGCTAGGCTAGACGTCTAAAGTTTCTTTGGTCACTAAGAACCTGATCCTGCCCTTATAACTCTATGTATAAAAACACTCAAATTGAGCTCCGGTTAAGTGATTGTATATATGTATATGTATGTGAAGTGAAGGCATTAGGAAAACCACAATCTGCCTTGCAAATTAAGAGGAGATGATAAGATTTTTCTCTGTGTCTATGTATAGGTGAGTGGGTGGATGCATGTGCGTGGAAAGAGAAAAAGAGGCAGAATATTTCTATTTGCTACCAAATTGAAGTGAATTTAGAGCCATGCTTCTCAAAAATTAGTGTGCAAAAGAATCACCTGGGAGTCTTGTTTTTATGCAGGATTCTAATTTAGGAGAACTAGGTGGGCTCAGAGATTTTATGTTTCTAACACTCTCTATAATGTTGATGGTGCTGCTCCAGAGACAACAGATTGAATAGCAAGGATTTAGAGATGATCTAATGCAGTGGTTCTCAAAGTGGGCCCTGGGATCAAGAGCAGGAGCTGGAAGTTTGTTGGAAATGAAAACTTTATGGAATCAGAAACCTCCAGATTATGACACATCAATCTGTGTTTTAATGCGTGCGCGCACACGTGCACGCGTGCGCGTACACACACGATTCCTGTGCATGCTAGAGGCAGAGAACCTCTGATCTACTGCAGCTGCCCCTTTACCAATTTATAGAAGAGGAAACTGAAATTATAGAAACTGTTCGATTTACCCAAGGTCACACTGCTTGTTTGCCATAGCCAAGGTGAAATCTCAGGTCTCTGGATTCCCTAGCTAGTGTCCCTTCCCCCAGGGAATAATGTCTCCCCAACCATCTAGTTTTAGGGTCACTTTCAATACCTTTCTAAGTAATTTGTGTCAGCTTGGACTGCCGAGTCAGTCTTGAAAGACAAGAGCAACACGTGATGGAATGGAAAGAATCTGCCCAGCACGTGACAGTCAGCTCATGCAGGGATGTGCTAGTCAGATGTAAAAAAAAAAAAGGAGATTGAACTGGGCATTGATTCAATTCCTTCAGCCCCCAGTCTGATAGATTCCAGAGAGGATGGAAAGGAGGGAGCTTTTTTGAGACAAAGCCATATCCTGATGCTCTTCAAATAAAGGCTAGACACCAATCCATAGGTGTTGAGTCTCACTCCCTCCTCTCAGAAAGCTGTATATCTCTGAGGATCTTGGATCTAGGGATTTAGCTGTATATCTCTGAGGATCTTGGATCTAGGGACTTGCTTTTTTGTCTGAGCCATAGGAGAAGGCTCTTGGATGCTGTGGCCTTTTTACTTGGGAGAGAGATGCTTTGAGGAGACTTGGGAACCTCAAGGACTCTGAAGTCAGAAGACTAGGCAGGGAGCTCTCAGCATGAGACCTCAGGTGCTTGGAAAAGAGATAGTTCTCACCTCCCAGGACTGGAAAAATCAGCTGTCTGTGGGACTGAATGAAATAAACCAGAGTACCTCAGAACCAGCTTGTTTAGACAAGTGGAAAGCTGCTTTCTCAGCAGGAGCTGCTATTCATCATGCCAGCAAGTCTGGAGCCAGTGAGGTCCTTAACACCCTCTTGTTCTGCCCCACTCCTTTATACGCTGAACACAGACCCTGTCAACTACTAGGTAGTTCTTATCTTGCCCTGTTATACTTACCTCAAGGTGCAGGATGAGATTCCCTGAATCTCAAGTATGTGGAGAACACTGTCCGTGAGGGGCCTCAAAATCTAGTCCCCCTCCCTCTACGAGGCTACCAGCGTAGTCCTCCTGAAGCAGAAATTTGCCCCCATCATCCTTGTGCTTTAAGCACCTCCCTCCTTCCCTCTCCCTCCTCCCCTCTAGGCCAACCTGGCCTCTCCCAGTCCACCTCTAGTGACACTCCTGTCCCCACCTTTCTATCAGTTAGGTAGATAGACTGAGCTGCAGTGTAATTCTGTGACACTTCTAATATTCCGCCTATCTGGACTTTCACTGGCACTTTTGGCTCTATGGCTTACCTTTCCTGTCTCTCCCCACCTGGAAAATGCCTTCTCTGGGTGGGGGTTGTAGCTCCAGGCAGAGCGCTCGCCTAGCACATGTAAGGCACTGGGTTCAATCCTCAGCACCACATAAAAATAAAATAAAAATATTGTGTCCACCTAAAACTAAAAAAAAAAAAAAGCCATCTCCTCCTACAGGCTGGGCCCTTTGGCCAAGCCTCCCCTAGGTCTGCGGGACCACCAAAGAGATCTCTTGACTACTCCATAATGACTTCCTTAGAATGGTTATGGATCTCTCTAGTTTCAGTTTCCTCAACTAGAAAGTGTAAACTATCATATTTGCCTCTTAGTGTTCCAGTAAGGATTAAATGAGATACAGTTGTCCCTTGGTATCCATGAGGCATCAATTTTGAGGTCCATTCATCTCGGATGCCAACATCCACAATTGCTCAAGCCCCTTATATAAAATGGTGTCATATTTGCAGATAACCTATACTCCTCCAGCATACTTTAAATCATCTCTAGATTACTTTTAATAATATAAGTGCTATGTAAGTTGCTTTACTATATGTTATAGGGAATGACAAGAAAATAAGTCTACTCAGCTGGGCACTGTAATCCCAACAGTTAGGGAGGCTGAGGCAGGAGGATCACAAGTTTGAAGTCAGCCTCAGCAACTTAGTAAGGCCCTAAGCAACTTAGCAAGATTCTGTTTCAAAAATAAATAAATAGATAGATAAATAAATAAATAAAATGGCCTGAGGATGTGGCTCAGTAGTTAAGTGTCCCTTCAATCCCTGATACAAAAAGAAAGGAGAAAAAAATCTATTTATAGTCAGTACAGAAACATTTTTTAAAATATTTTCAATCTGTAGGTATTTGAATCCACAGATGAAGAACCTGTGACTATGGAGGGTTCACTGTATTAATGATTTATGCTCATCACAGTGCCTGGCAAACAGAGACAAAGCTATGAGCTACTGTTATTAATGGCCATGCACCATTCGTTAAGTTTGATATCAGTAGTGTTAAAAGGTACCCCCTGGGCTGGGGTTGTGGCTCAGCGGTAGAGCACTCACCTGGCATGTGAGAGGCCCTGGGTTCCATCCTCAGCACCACATAAAAATAAAATAAAGGTATTGTGTCAACTACAACTTATATATATATAAGTTGAAATAAACCAATATATATATATATATTGATAATCCTCTTAGATCAATTAAGTTTCGTAGAGTTGGGGCTGGGGCCGTAGCTTAGTGATAGAGTGCTTGATTAGGTACATAAGGCCTGGTTTGATCTCTAGAACAGCAAAATAAATAAATAAGAATTCTGTAAAGTTTATTTAGGCAAAGTGAAATAAAAAATGATTCAAGAATTGGTAGTTCTGAGAATTCCAAGCAACAACATGATCATCTAAAATTTATAGTTACTCAGGAAGCTCAGGAAGCAGGATTGCTATGTTGTGGCCAGCTTCAGCAACTTAGCAAGGTCCTCAGCAACTTGGTGACCCTCTCTCAAAATAAAATTTAAAAGGCTGGGGAATGTAGCTTAGTAGCACAGTAAGTACCACCAGGTTAATCCCCAGTAATGCAAAAGAAGAAGAAAGAGGAAAAAAGAAGCAGCTGTTGCAGGCTTCATGGTAGAAATTACAAGTAGATTAGGGCATCTAGAATAAACGTATTAGAAGAGTCTCTGCACATTCATCTTATGTAACCAATATCTCAGAATTCTGAACCAGTGAACTCCAGTTCTTCCACCAAATGGGCTGAACTTCCTACTGCAGATACAACTTCTCTTGCTCATTTCTAGAGAGGTGTCCAGAAGTTCCATGTTACCAAATTGATCCCAGGTATACAGACCTGATAATCTCTACCCTCTTGTGACCTGAGGTGACGCCTTAGAAAAGAAGGAGGAGCCTGACCACTTTCTGCAGGCAGACATAGTGCCAAGTGCTTCCACATGTGTGGTTCTCAGAAACTATTTTTTTAGAACAGTTTTAGGTTCATAGCAAAATTCAGCGGAAGGTGTACAGATTTCCCATATGTCCCCCTCCCGCCTCCACACATGCACCCCTCCCCCAGCTACCAGCATCCCCCACCAAGTGATATGATTGTTACAATTGATGAGCCTTCATTGACACCTGGATAGTATGTAGATCTTAGTTCCAGCCCATGTCCCCCACCTCCAGAAGAGTGTCAGGGATGCAGGCGACTCCACTTGGCAGGGATCAAAACCTGACCTTACTCTCTGGTTTTGCTGCTTGAGAAATTCCCTTCTGTGATTGATTGGCTAAAAAAATAATAATTAATGCAGAACCAGGGGGAGGCAGAACTCTGAGTACCACTGAGTAATATCTTCTCTGTTCATCTTTGCAGTGGGGATTTCTGAACCCAAAGCATCAAATCTGTGTGGGAATCGAGCATATGGAAAATCGCTGGTAAGTAAAAAATAAGCCTGGTTAGTTAGAGCTGCTGTGCTTTAAACTTCTCACTATTTCTGTTTCTCCTGAGCCATGAAGAGAGACTAAGTGTCCTTTGCCCAGGCCTGAAGATTATTAGAAAAGCGGAACTGTGGTCTTTGCTCCTAAAGGCTATTAATTGACTTTGCTTTGTGTGCCTGTGGCACATCACTGACTGCTTCTCTATTCATCAAGAAATTCAGTTCTTAGGGAATCAGAAGCTGTGACCCAGCAGACAGCTCATATATGGGGGTGGGGGACGGAAACTGGCTTTTAGCATAATCCCCATCAGGTGAATGTAGCTAAGTGGCAGGTGCAGCAAGAGGGGTAAAGAGATATAAGGTTCTCAAACACCACAAAAAACACAAAACCCTAGTGTCTTAGTCAGTTTGTGTTGCTATAACAAAATAGCATGGACTTGGGGGCTTAAACAACTCTTCCTCACATTTCTGGAGGCTGGAAAATCCAAAATCAGGTGTCAGCAGATTCAGGTTGTGGTGAGGGCCCTCTTCCCAGAGTAAAGATGGCTGCCTTCTGGCTATGTGCTCACACAGCCTTTCCTCTGTAGGTGTTTGGAGACAGATCTCTGGAATCTCCTTTTCTTCTTATAAGGGTTCTAATACCACCATCAGCACTCTACCCTGATGATTTCATGTAAGCCTGATCACCCCTCATACTCTCCACCTTCCCATATCATCACATTGGGGTTTAGGCTTCAGTTTGAAAGAAACAGCCCACAACAACCAGCCATCTCAGTATAGAGACTTCTGAGGCATCTGCTAAAGGTCAAGTTCTCTCAAAGCACACTCTGGGATTTGAAGTGCAAGATGCATATTAGGAATGAGTAACAGGAGTAAGGAGGCAGAGTTTGGTGGAGGGAGTGGCTGAACCATGATGCAAATCCAACATCTCCTGTCGGGGAACTCTAGGATAAGTATTCCCCACCAGGTGAATCTGAATTGAGCCAAAATGGTCAAGCTTTTATGGCCCCTCTTCACTCCACCTCAGCATAGCATGTGGGTTGCCCCTTGGGCGAGGTGACCCTTTAAAGAAGCCAAGAGCCTTCATATTCACCCTCTGTCCTTCCTTGAACAGGAATCAGGTGGTACATCTCCACATCTATCTCTTCTCCTATGTCATCTTCTGGGCTTGAATGTTGGGTTCTCTCTGGTTTTGCAGAGTCAGCAGTAACTGGAGTTGAAGTCATATCTGGCACCCCAGGCCCTTTCAGTCAGTGTCAGCTCCCAAGATGTATAGATGGTACAATGTGAGACCCCAGAGGTTGTCTGGCCAGCCCTTCCTCTCTATGGAACAAATTAGACAGAGATGTGGGTACATGGCTCTTGGTCTGGGCAGGATACCTAATCCAGGGATCTGATTTAAGTCATCAGTATACTAGGAAAACCACACAAAGGAGAGGAGGGGAAAGTTGTTATCAGGGCTTCTCCAAACTTAAACTCAGGGGAAAGTGGGGTGACCAGGCAGTTGATGCCTTAGGTTGTGACAGAACAGCTACCCTTGGCTGAGCCAGAGAAGGATCAAGGTTAAGGGGAAGAGAGTAGCTCATGACCTTGGATTACCTGCCCCCAGGCCTTCAGGTGGGCTCAGACAGCACCCTTGGCAGAGTAGCAGCTGCAGTAACTGGCCAGAGGGAGCTGGGGTGGTATAGAGTAGTGATAGGTATGAGGTGATAGTGATGAAGAGGAGGAAAAGGCAGCATTTCCTACAGGCCTGGAAACAGTGAGGCTGAGTCCCACAGTTCATTACCCTAGGGCAGGAGAGCAATCCAGAACCCACACAACTAAATCTGATTCAATACAGACATGCACTGGGTGAGATGGGACCAAGGAAAGAGGGGGAAAGGAGTGTGAACAAGGGCCTTTCCTCCAAAGCTAAGGGGCCGTGGGTGAACATTCGCAGGGCCACTGGCACCAAGGGGAGGATGTGCTTGGGAGGGACCACAAGGTGGCACAGTAACTCTGCCTACAACCTTTGGCCAGCTCAGGCGAGAAGGAGGTGGCAAACAGCAGTGTCCTTGACCGGGAATTTCCCAGTGATTTCAGGAATGTGATGACTTGAAGCCTTTGATCTGGCTTGGGGTGGAAGAACAAAGCATAATGTGTGTCCTTTGACAAGCAACCTCTGGACTTAGCTCTGGTTAGGCCATCAGTTAATTTTCAATTCAGTACATGCTCCTTGAGTCCTTACCACCTCCTGTAGAAGGGGCTACCAAATAGGTTAAGTCCCAGACTCTGCCACTCACCTTTCAATCTTTCTATAGACCAAGAGACTGGACACACATATGAAGCAAATGGAGAATTTAAAACCAGAGTGGGTGGGATGCCATAATGTGTCACATAGACAGTGCTCTGGAGAGTTGGAGACAGAGAAAGAGCCGCTTGGTCCACCAGGCTGAAGGAAGGCTTCCTGGAAAAAGTTGCCTTGAAGGACAGGCAGAGATGAGACCTTGATCCAGAGAGTGAAGGAAAAGATACAGAGCTGTGAATAGCGTTAAGGAATGCAGGTCCACTCCTGCAGGAACAGGAAGTGGATCTAATGACACATGGGGAATAGCAGAAGGCTGAGCTGCCATAGATAGGGTTGAATCCAGTGTTGTGGAACCTTCAAGAAACGGCTTCAGAGTTGGCCTCAGTCTGCCCTGCTGTGGAAAGTCATGGCAATTCCAGGATGTAGGGAAGGTCTGATCAACAAACAAGGAGATCTGAGGTAACTGTCCCTTGAAGGCTGCAGCAGAGCAATTGGAGAGGCTGACTGTAGTGTAGGCAGCTTGTTCCAAGCCAGAATCTGAAGGACTTGACAACCGACACAGATGATGTTGGTGGGAGGGTGACAGCTCTCATGTAAGATTGAGCAGCACTCAATTGAGAGACACTCAAGTGTCTCTAGGCCAGTGGTTCTGAAAGTGGGATCCCAGGACCAGCAGTACCTGGGACACTGTTTGCAATGCTGATGCTCAGGCACCCATCAGATCTGCTGAATCAGACTTTAGAGGTAGAGCCCAGTTCAGTTATCACAAGGCTTTTTAGGGCTAATACTGGACAAGGGTAAAAGCTATTGCCCAGGTAGGTGGTAGTTCCCAGGGTGGAACATGGACACTACTCAATTCCCTCTCCTTTCCTCACAACACAGATTCCTCCAGTGGCCCGGATCTCAGTGAAATCTCCGGCTGCACCAGAGGTGGCAGCCACAGGCTCAGAGAACGGAGCTGTTCTGGGGAGAGGGTAAGTACGGTGCCTTCCAGCCCTGCCAGGTGCAGGGGTCCCCACCCAGTCCTGGTCTTGTGCAGGAGAGTAACAGGTGGCCTGGTTTTCAGACTCTCAAAATACTAAAACAAAACCCTTGCCAGCTGTAGATTACCTTGTAATGAGGGACATAATCCTGGGTCTGGGTAGCGCCTCATCAACTGTTTCCCTGAGATTAAGCCGAAATGTTTTTCATGGTTTCCACTTCATTAACACCACTCTGTAGGCTTAAAGAATTGTCACTTGGGAGGGTTTTTGGTTAATTAGATGAATGTAATTTCAAGCCATACTCAGAACCTCCTGTTTACCCAATGATGTCAGAAATGCCTCATGAATTCATTTAGGGGCCCCTGCCCACAGGTAAAGAAATGTATAAAATACTGTGGTTTCAAACCAAACTATAACCCCAGTGCTCCTGTTAACTCTAATCCAGAGCCAGCAGCTAGGGTAATAGGAGTGGCTATTCCTCCAGTGCCTCCTCACTGCCTTCAATGCCTGAAGACAGCAAGAATCTGCAATTCATCTGCTTTCTAGCCTAGCAGTTCCACCCACTCCAACTTCAGGCAAGTTATTCTGCCCTCTACACCCTCATCTATTTAAAAACAAGCAGAAAAACAGGAAAGACAGGAGTACCCAACTAGAGTGCTTATTGTGAGAGCTGAATGAAATCATGTGCTGAGAGTTTAACTCAAACTGCTGTTAACATTGTTCAAGAAACTCCCAACCAGTAGTTGGGAAGCCATGTTCTTGGGGAAGTGTTCAGCACACATCCAAAAGACCACGTGTGAAAATATTGTCTTAGTCCATTAATTATTATTATTATTATTTTTGCTACTAATAACACAATATTGCAGACTGGTTAAGTTATAAAGAAAATAGCTATTTGGTTCATGGCACTAGCCAAGGTCAAGGGGCTGCCTCTGATGGCTTTTTGGCTGGCAGAGCCCCTGGCAATAAGATATCACATGGCTAGAGATAGGGAACGTAGAAGAGACCTAGCCAAATTTTTTTTTTTTTAGTATTTTTTTTAGTTGCTGATGGACCTTTATTTTACTTATTTGTATGTGGTGCTGAGAATTGAACCCAGTGCCTCACAAATACTAGGCAAGCACTTTTCCACTGAGCTACAACCCCAGCCCATCAAATTGTTTTTCTGGCACACCTAATCCAGAGATAACCCATTGATTGCACGAATGAATTAATCCTGAAGGCAGAGCCCTAATTACCTCTTGAAAGTATTGCCTGACCCCATCTCTTAATGTCTTTTTTTTCCTTGTGCTTTTTTTATTAAATTATTTCTTCTAGTTTGTTATACATGATGTTAGAATGTAATTCATTTCATATTACACATATAGAGCACAATTTTTCAAGTCACTGGTTGTACACAAAGTATTTTCACACCATTTGAAGTTTCCCTATCCATTCATCTACTGAAGGCATCTGGGTTGGTTCCACAATTTAGCTATTGTGAATTGTGCTGCTATAAACATTGATATGGCTGTGTCCCTGTAATATGCTGTTTTTAAATCCTTTGGGTATAAACTGAGGAATGGGCTAGCCGGGTCAAATGATGGTTCCATTCCAAGGTTTCCAAGGAATCTCCATACTGTTTTCCATAATGGCTGTACCAATTTGCAGTCCCACCAGCAGTGTATGAGTGTGCCTTTTCCCCCACATCCTCGCCAACACTTGTTGTTGTTTGTCTTCATAATAGCTGCCATTCTGACTGGAGTGAGATGAAATGTTAGAGTAGTTTTAGTTTGCATTTCTCTAATTGCTAGAGATGTTGAACATTTTTTCATATGCTTGTTGATTGATTGTATATCCTCTTCTGAGAAGTGTCTTAATGTCTAATAATGGGGATTAAATTTTTACATGATTTTTGGGAGGAAACAACCCATATTTAAATATAAATTATAAAAGCCAAATCATAGCCAGGCACATGCCTGTAATCCCAGCAAGTTTGAGGCCAGCCTCCACAATTTTGTGAGACCCTGTCTCAAAATAAAAATAAATAAATAAAAAGGGCTGAGGGTGTGACTCAGTGATAGAGCACCATGGATTCAATCCTTAGTTAAAAAATAAATAAATAAAAGCTATGTGTCATTCAATGTATTGGGACTTAACTGGAGAAAAGTTAAAAAAAAAAAATCATCATTTGGCTTGTATTACATCCTCGTTTACAAATCCTTCTAAGTGGTGATAGCTGTTGCTGACAGCTGAGTTCGAGTAGACCAGCACAAACTTCACTGTGCCTTAACAGAGGTCAACTTTCAGGTCCACATAGCTGCATGGCAAAGGGTTCTCAAATGACTCTTTCTCTCAACTCAGTTATTCTCATTCCTGGACCCCAGTGTTGAAAAGACCTCTATTTTTTGCCTAAAAGGAGCACCTCAGGAGATGCACATTTATTGAAGGTCTACAACATGCATGCACACGGATGCTTAATTACCTCATTTTCCTCTCCACAAACGCCCTAGGAATTAGGTGAAATTATCCCCACTTTGCATAGGAGGAAACAGGCTGATAAGTCACTTGCTTGAGTCCCCTAGTAAGTGGAAAGTAGGATTCAACCCCAAGGCAAACACTCTTTCAGTGGCTGATGCTTTGGGGAATTTGCCCTTTCCTCGAGATTTCTCATGTGGAGGTGGGAGGGGTGGGAAAATGGAGGCTTTACAAGGTCAGGCCCCAAAGATGGGGACAGGAGCAGAACATGAGATCCCATGACTCACTGTGCCAGAGTTATGTCCTCCCCATACCCTATAGGAGCCTCCCCCGGGGGGATACTTTCTTGTGGGTCTCCCCCCAAAAAAAACCCTTCAGCTCTGCAGAGCCTAATCACAGGATGGAGAAGCAGAGGAGGAGAGTGTCTGGTTCAGTGAAGTGATTACCTTACCCACCCCTGGCTTTTCTTTAGATCCAGACATCTCAAGAAGATGATGGAAGAGTATCCAACTCTCCCCCAGGGTGCAGAGGCTTCTCTGCCACTGACAGGCAGTGCCTCCTGCGGTGTCCCTGGCATCCTCCGGAAAATGTGGACCAGGCACAAGAAGAAGTCTGAATACGTGGGAGCCACCAACAGCGCCTTCGAGGCTGACTAGAGGTGACCCTTCCCAGGTGCCTTGCATTGGCCGAGGTTCACAGGACAGAGAAGAAAACTTGAGGATTGGGACTGAGCCACACTCACCTGTGCTAGTAGCTGGTCCAAACATCATCCTCCCTCACTGGCCAATCACCCAGCTTAGGGTGTGGAAAAGGAACGGTCCCTTGAAGGCAAAATAAAACTGTTGGTCTGAAAGTTACTTTGGGAGGTCATAAAGTTTATATCCCTATCTTTAGGCATAACTATACCAAAAGCAAACTTTGCCAGCCCATTTTTAAAATCTACAGGAGAGAACAAAGGCAATCCCTCTGTCTTCCTTGTGGGTTTTTCCAAAATGTATAATTTCTGGCATGAATGTAAAAGCTTAACCTTTGAGGGGTTTGTAAACCCCATGGTTCTCACACTTCCCATTTCATGTTTATATCACCTTGATGAGGTACAAATTCTAAGGACAAAGCACTATGTATCTACTTAATACTTCCAATATCTACCTGACAGTATCATCAAGATCATTTCTGATGGTCATTTGGCATGATTGCATGACTTCTTTGTTCTTTTATGTGCATTTTTTTTCTATAGAAAAACATTAAAATTAAATGTTAATGTTTTCTTAAGTGGTATAATCTAGTAGAATTGATAATACCTTGCTTTGGTCCAATGATTGTAACTTTTGAAAGTGCTTTCCCATCCGTTATCTCTTCTTATCACAAAGCCCCAGTTGGAAAAAAAAAAATGATTCCCAGTCTACAGATGGGGAAATCAAGGCCTCCCCAGGTTATGTGAATAGACATATGAAGTGGTAGGATCATTCCCCAGATCCTCAAATTCCCTCAGCAGATTCCCTGCTGTGCTTACTCTAGCAACTGATTCGAGGAACTTTTTAAATGATAGGCAGGTGTCTCTGGGGACAACCATGAAGCAAAGAGTCTGATAAAGTTAGAACATGTAAGTGATCTGAATGAATTAGACCATTGCATATTGGACTGAGCCAGGGGACATTGCCATTTCTATTGGTCAAAACAATTGAATATCCATATGGTTTAACCTAATATATAATATTATGCTTTCCTCTATCAATGGAAATGTCATCACCAATTCCATTTTCAACATCAATAGCCTTAAAATGATCACATAATAGCAATGGTAATAATAATTATCATTTATTAAATGCCTACTATGTGCCAGGCATGATACTGAGCACTTTATAGAAATTATCCTAATCTTTCTAACAACCAAATTAGATGGCTTTATCCATTTCATATGTAGATGCCAGTTCAAAAAGGTTAAATGATTATTCTGAAGGCACCTAACATACATGGGTGTCCAGCTTCAATGCTTGTATTATACATACTCCTTCACATGAAAGAGTTCAGAACATAGAGAAGGACTAGGGTTAGTAATCAGTTTTTGTCTCAAGCATTAAAGCTAATGGATTGGTAGAGGCTGCCTAGAGTGTGTGGAGAAGGGATCTGAATTGAAAGAGTCAGTGATGGATGGGTGATGCCTTGCCCATGGAGGGGATTAGTGACAGTGACAGTCCTCATCTGTGACCTGAACTCTGCCTCCAGAAGGCTTGTTTTCTAATTAAGAGGTTTAAATTAACTCAACCTATTTAATGAAATCAGAAATTCTGTAGTTAAAATTTAGCCTATGACTGTGTTGGAAATTGCTGTCTTTTGTACAAACTAGAGTGTGACCATTCTACATCTCAGACTCAAAGGATATTTCTGACTGTTGCACTGTGGTAACATCTTGCTTTGTGCTCTTTGAATTTCCTGTTTCTGTATCTCCAGGTAAATTCCCAGAGGTGTGGTGGTGGGCAAGAGGCCTGGGCTTCTGGGCTTTCACCTTGCTCATCTCTGCCTTCAGCCATTGTGCTAGACTCAAGTACCTGATCCTGGCACCGAAACATGATTTGGAAACTTGTGATCAAGGGCTTTTTCACCAAGGGGCTAATCCCAATGAACTGTCCAATGTCTTATACAGCGTAGAAATTGGGGTCCAGAACAAAATTAGGGAACAAACAGGTGATCTTGCTGGACCACATAGAGTTTCTTATGACTATTTATTTTAACTTATTTAATTTATAACTGATGTCTTTTATTTGTATGTGGCAGCTGAAGATCTATGTAGGATGGAATTAACTTATTTATTTTTAATTTAAATATTTCATGGTGAAGTGTTTGCCTTGTATAGAACATTTGGCGAGTTCAAATAAAAATAAAGTGTGCTTTGTGACATTAATAAACCACCAGAAGAGTGTGTCTGAGGCTCCCTCATTGAACAGGAGGAAGATTTTTCACAAAGGAAAAGAATTATATATCTTGACTTCACGGGCTCTTTGAAATGAGAGGGATCATTTTTTTTATATAAAATACAAATAAATGAAAGGGATGGTAAGAAAGAATCTAGCATGTTCTTTCCATCCTAAAGCAATGTCTGTTTTTGATATTACAGGCCATGCCCAGCAGTTAACACCAGGGCCTCTATTGATGAGACCCTAACTAGATGACCTGACCTCTTGGGGTCTCTCTGTCCTTCCTACTAATATGACCCCTTAGTTCCCACCCCAAACATAAGGGGCCCAGTGGCCATCCCCAGCCTGCTGGCCTCCCACCCCTGATAAGGGAAGATACTGTGTGCCCACCATGTTCAACCTTGCTAGAGACTGCCCCCATGACTCATATCACAGCCACTTGCAGAAGGACGCCAAGGCTTGCTGCAGATGCCTGTCCGGGAATGACCAAGCCTGGAGTCTTCTCATGCCAGAGGCAACAGGGTTTCCAGGACATTTAGGGTAATAACATTGCCTCTGTTAGGATCAGGGCCAGTCAAATATTTCAGTTCTTACTTAAGATCTCTCTGGAGATTTCCCCCACCCTACCCAGCACCAAGGTTGCCTGTAGAACCAGCAGATGGGCAGTGGGTAGGAAAAGCAGCACCAGCCAGAGCCCAATTTTAAAAGGAATCTTGTGACACGTTGTCTCTGACACTAAATTGGCAGAAACCGAAGGACAAGCAAGGAAAAATACAGGCAAAGATGACTCTCCAAAGGATTAGAATTTGCATTTTGTTTTTTAATTTCTTATCACAAAGTCAGCCTGCTCCGTGAGGTTTGTGGCAAATGCATCACTATGATGCACAGGGGAAAAGATCTTGCTCTGCAGGACAGGCCACTTGCCTCAACGCTTAATTTTTCATTTTGTCACATTGGACCTGGGACAAGGCTCACGCCTATTATTTCCTTTTGTTGGGAGGAAGCATGAAGATTGGGTAACGGCAGCCCAAGAAACCTGACACTTGGTGCTATCATGGACATGGTAGCTGAGCCTGTGCCAGCCACATTCCTGTTCCCTTTGGGGGGTCTGTAGAGAAGCCAAGCTGAGAGGCTTGTAGAGTCCCACATCACAGACACTCCCCATAACCCTCCTGGAGACCCAAATGCTATGTCTCCAGTTCTGGGCTGACCCAGAGAAGAACAGGTGCCATGAGTCTAATCCTCCTTTCCCAAGTGATCAGAGTTTTATTTGTGAACCTGAGGGGCCAGGGCTTTCCCAGAAGGACAGGTGTTCTGGATCTTGCCTGGCCTCTATTAGGCAGGGGTACCCAAAGTTATGAGCAAATGCTGGCCAACATTTGGGGTTCCATCCACACAGAAGCAAACTGAAATTCCTATTTAGCCCCAGGAACCCCTGGCGTTCTTCTGGAAAAGACCCCACTTCAATGACAACCCACTTTGCTGATGTCAGACTCTACTGAGCTAAGGATTCTACCTATCCAGGCAACTGAGTGATTGGCAGGCGGGTGGGGGAACAACAGTTTAGCAGCAGGTCCTGATGAGTAAGCACAGCCATTTCGAAAATCACAGATGCCACATGGAGTGCTCCAAGGGTAACAATGTTCAGATAAAGGGCAAGAGGCAATGTGAACTACGAAAATCATCTCTTGGTGTCATTCAGGACACTAGTTCTGGCCACAGCAAAACTGTGGGTGAGGGCCAGCTTGCCCTCAGTTTCTCAGTGCCCCCCTACTAATCCCCCCCACACCCACCATCTTCCTAGTCACACACACATACACACGTCCCTACCTCTTCTGTTCCTTTTTCTATTTTTCCCCACACTCTGTACCTTGAACTCTTTTGGGACCTGAGCCCTTATATTGTCCTCTGGCCACCAGGAATCCCACATCCTCCCTCCACTTAGGGCCTTTTGTCTTGGGTGCACCATGATCTAAAGCCCTGATTGCCAGAAACACTGGCTGTGAGGGCTTGAGATGTTGTGGAACCTCACAGAGACTTAGTTTCCTCAGCACTTGAAAAAGAAAACGTTATACCTTCCTCCAAAATCCTAGAGAAGATTGAAGATATCAGCTGACATGTAGCTGATAGGCACCAGTGTGGCTGCACAGTTATGAAAGCACAGAGGTATTCCACACTGGTGCGCAATGGCCAATGCTCAGAGCACCTTGAAGTACATCCTCCCACTTCATCCCTGTGTTGGCCCTGGTTGCCCCACCCCTCCCTTGAGCCTTTCACCAACCTCCCCATGGACCAGCAGTTGTGGGTAATGCCTGGCACAGTGGAGGGGAGGGGGGCCAGGACCTGCTCCGCGTGATGGCCTGCAATTATCCTCACTGGTCCTTTGCCTATGCTCTGCCAGTTGTTAAAAATCTCAACTGTCCTCTTGAAGACATGTTTGAACGTGCCTATCATGTAAGCTGAAGTAGAGAGCACATAAATGTAAGGTGGCCGGATTATCAGTCATGTATACCTTAGTGGAAGTAGATGGAGAATGGAAATGAGGTTTCCTCATGTGTTGGAAGGTAGGGTCTATGGAAGGGTGAAAGACCCCCCTGGTAGGACACTGCAGCCTACTTCCTCCACTTAGTCTAGAGATTGACTTCTCCCCAGCATTTAAATTCTTTGGATTCAAAGTACAACACTCCCAGAAGCAAATGTCCTCTGTAAAGAAGATAGAAAATAGTCCTGACAGGTGGTCCTACAGGTGTCTGCACTCCTCAGCCCAATAACCATAAGCCCCCTGGAGAGTATAGAGGTGGGGGAAGCCTGGGACAGAGACCCAGCCCCACATTTATTATACAGAGAGTTTCATTGGTCAATCTGCTTGAAGTTCCTTGAGCCTCTATTTTGCCTCATCTGTGAACATGAATTAAATTACCTGCCCAGTCAACCTCACAGGCTGATGAAAGATCACAGGAGAGCTAGTACATAACAGGGCTTTGTAAATTGTGAATTGCTCTTCTAACATATGG